CTTGGTACTTTTCCATAAGGTCTGATATTTCTTGAAATAAAGTTTTCAAAAAGAAGTCCAGGAAAGAGGCACACGAAATAGCTGGTTAGAGGGATTTGGTCCATATAACAGAGTCTTAAAAGTCAGGGAGAATTAGGAACTTCAATAGTAGGAACACAAATCAAATTAAGGAAGAGTGAAAGTAGTATGCAGTAAGAGTCCTAGCATGTGGCTATTAGGGGTGGAGCAGTTTAAGTTAAGAGATGCGAGGAAAGGAAAGAAAAAAACGTAAGGGAAGGAAAGGAAAAGTAGAGGACAACTTACAGCTGGGGGGATGTTTTAGCCTAAGAAGTTAAAACATAAGGAGTACATGTAAGATTCTCTGGCAGGAAACAGACTTCTTTGGCTTAAGTTTTCTCTACCCTCAGGGAAGGAAGAATCCATTCTTAAAAGGAGACAATACTAGCCATTCCCTCCATTCAATTAAAAAATGTAAAGGAGTACCTACTGCTCTCTAGATCCTTTCTAGGTACTAGGACAACAGCATGATTTTTCACTCTGGGTGTGATTTTTCACTTCTAGTGAAGAGACTGATAATAACAAATAAACAATTAATGCATCGTTTCAGATGTTGCCATGAGAAAAAAATAAAGCAGAGTAATGTGACAAAAGAGTACATGGAGGTATCAAGGAAGACTCTCCAAAAAGTAAACTTGAACTGAGAAATCAACCCTGCTAAGACAGAGGTGCTCAAGCAGAGAGAACCAACTACAAAAGCCCCAAAGTAGAATAAGCCAGTGGGATGCAGACTGTAAAACAGGCAGATAGCTGTAGGAAACAAAGTCTCCTGGGTAAGGGCCCCAGATCATGTTGAAACTTGTAGAATGCATTTTACTCTAGAGTCAATGGAAGGCCATTTGGAAAAGTTTTAAGCAGCAGAGGGACATGATCTGATTTATTATTTTAAAGTTCACTTTGGCTGCTACACTAAATAGATGTAGGGAAAAGAATGGAAGTAGAAAGACCAACGGGGAGCTACTGCAGGCCAAGCAAACTATGATAAAAGTTTTGGACTAAGTTTACTGCGCAGATAGAAAGTAGTAGAGAGTTCCATACGTATTTAAGAGAAGAACTAAAGGCCTCGCAGATAAACTGCAGAAAAGTCAAGGTTAGAGATGTTAATTTACAAGTCACCAGCATTATTCTCCAACTCTCTCCTGGGCTCTAGACTGACATTTCAACTGCCTGATAGAACTCCCTGAATGTCCTATTGGAATCTCCAACTCTAAATTTGTCTAAATCAGATTCATCACCCTCCCGCATAAAGTATCTCTTCCTTATTTACTCATTTCTATTATTGATATCCCCACTCACTCAAATGCAACACACTTCAGAGTCAACGTCACCCTCTTTTCCATCATCCCCACCTCCTACAGCCAAAGTACAAAAACCTACCTTTGTATATCTTTGCATTCACTTCCTTTTTCACCCTTAATGCCAACACTTTTAAAAAACATCAAACTGCCGGGCGCGGTGGCTCACGCCTGTAATCCTAGCTCTCTGGAGGCCGAGGCGGGAGGATTGCTCGAGGTCAGGAGTTCGAAACCAGCCTGAGCAAGAGCGAGACCCCGTCTCTACTATAAAATAGAAAGAAATTAATTGGCCAACTAATATATATACAAAAAATTAGCCGGGCATGGTGGCGAATGCCTGTAGTCCCAGCTACTCGGGAGGCTGAGGCAGGAGGATTGCTTGAGCCAGGAGTTTGAGGTTGCTATGAGCTAGGCTGACGCCATGGCACTCACTCTAGCCTGGGCAACAAAGCAGACTCTGTCTCAAAAAAAAAAAAAAAAAAAAAACATCAAACTGATCTCTAATTCATCCTATAATACCCTGCTGCCAAAAGACTTTTTAGCAAATTGGGTACAAACTCCTCAATCTGTCATTTGAAGCCCTCCTTAAT